TCAGCCTCCCCAGCAGCTGGGATTATAGGTGTGTCATGGCCATTGCTTGGCCCCCTTTTTTTTTTTTTTTTTTTTTTTTTTTTTGTCTTTTTGAGACAGGGACTCACTATGCAGTTCAGATTGGCTTGAGCTCACTTAGTAGCCCAGGCTGGTCTCAAACTCACAAAGATCCTCCTGCCTCAGCCCCTCAAGCACTGGGATTATAGGTGTGCACCACCACACCCGGCTCACTCTATACTTTCCTCAGACAAATACATTTTGGGTCTCTACTTAAACCCAAGTCAGTCTCTTATCTCTGAAAAAGTAATGCTTCTTCTCCTCAGCCATTTATATCTCGGGACAGTCATCCCATGCATCTGCAGATTTAAAAGTATTTATGGGAAAGAAAACTGTGTTTGTACTAAAAGTTTTTTCTTGTCATCATTCCCTAAGTAGTACAGTGTAGTAACTAGTTAAGCAACATTTCATTGTACTAGGTATCATAAGTAATCTAGAGATGATTTGAAGCAAATATAACATTCAATTTACATAGCTTATATGTAGATACTGTGCCATTATACACAAGGAACTTCAGCATTCTTGAATTTTGGTATCTATGGAGAGTCCTAGAATCAAGTCCTTGTAGACAGCATGAGGCAGCTGTAAAGACATTTGTGAAAGCTTTTAAGAAATTAATAAAATATTAATTCGGTTCAAAGAAATACCTTTTCACTCATGGATTCTTCAAATTTATGGTTAAAGAGGCATTTATACACTCTGCCTTCACCAGCTTGCGTCTGTAAGATGAAACATACATATTATTATTACTCCTTGTTTTTTATACTGGGAATTGAACTCAGGACCTTGCACTAGCCAGGCAGCACTGAGCAGCTGAGCTATATCCCCAGCCCATTATTACTACTCTTTGCTAAATAGCTACGCTCTATATAATCTACACTTCTATGTGGACTTTTCTATTAAGCACACTGGCTGAAAAGCAAGAGAAGTGTCAGTCTCCTTTCGTACAAGTTTATGCTGGAGTCAGGGCTCATTAGGTTAATAATCAAGAGTTTAGTTTTAAAAGTTTAAAACCTGCCGTTTTCTTCATTTAGGCCAAAACCATGTGTATGTTTTAGCCACAGAATAAATCAGAACAGGATTCCCTGGTAAAATAAGATTCTTAAAGATAAAATAGACTTCTAAGAACTAAAATTGAGAACAGAGATACAGTAGAAAAAAAAATGTGTGGAGACTGGAGAAGCCAACTGTTAGCTCTATGTTAAATCTTTGAGGCTGAGCATCTGATACTATTTTCTGTCATCTTGGGACCAATTCCACCTTCCATTTCAGTGGCTTTTCCACAGCAAGGGTTTGTGATAGTGTACATTATTTTGGAATGGAGTACTAAAGATGTTTAAAAAGAAGATAAGAACAGCTTCTGTGCTGACTCACATTTTCACAAAACCGCTCACGATCGTCTCGGCAAGCGAAGTATAAATGCCGGTCTAGATGAAAGTCGTCTGAGGACAGCTCAGCCACCCGGAGAATGGCTTTCTTGCAGAGTTCCGAGACCTGGATCTTAGGTTCCTTCTCCTCTGCCTCCTTCACCAGGCCTTTCTCCAAGCATGATACCACCTCTCCTTGCGAATGTGCTCCCTAGAAGGGCCAGGACACTAGTATTTCATAACTTTCACCATGTGATTTCAAATAAACATTTTGTTAAGAAAAACACTCAAATATATTGCTACTGATGTTCTACTGAGAAATCAAGTGAGAACGAAATGTGAAAGATGGGGGCCGGGGAGATGGCTCAGTGGAATAAGTGCTTCCCTGGCAAGCGCAAGGGCCTGAGTTCAATCCCTGGTTCCGCAAAAAAAAAAAAAAAAAAAGTGAAAGTTAAAGAGAACGGTCTCAATAATCTTTTTTCAGAATATACATGCCATATACTACAAATGAAATAAAGATCCTGGGAATTTTAAGGATAACCTAGCACCAGAAGAACTTAAATTTTTAAAGCTTCAATGTCAGAAAATTCTTAAGAAATGACATCAGCTCAGTGCTCTGATCACAGGTCACGTTAAAGTAATGTACAAATTTCCATACATTTACCTCTAAGAGCGAAGCACTTCCTAACTAATGCTTTCTATCATGTTAAAAAGAAACTGACAAACCTGGCTGGGGGATGATGAGGCTGAGATACAGCATGTCCTTAGTATATGCAAGGTCCTTGGCTCAATCCTCAGTACCACAAAGTAATTAAAATATCAGATACCCAAAACAAACTCCAAAGTCCACTGAGAAAGGATATTATAAAGACTCCTTTTGCTACTCTGTACTGTGAAGAGCTCCCATGTATATATCAGTTAGAGTGGAATACTTTGATGTTCTGGACTGACCTGAACATGATTCAGTAAGACTACAACTGGCTGAGGATGGTGCCACAGGCCTGTAATCCCGGTGCTCAGGCAGCTGAGGCACAAGTTCCAGAGAAGCCTGAACTACACTGTGAGAGCGCCTCAAAAAAGAACAAAAAACTATCACTATTTATACAAACTACTTCTAAAAGTTTTTCTAATACCATCCAATTATCTTATAATTATATACTGAATCATTCTGAAGCAACCATATTCATTAGTGTGTACCAGAAGAAAGTTCCCCAAAGTAGCTTCAAGCGTCCTAAGCTTCTATACTCACAAGGTATGTTACAACAATGTGCAAGGTATAAGCATGAATATACAATTTACCAAAGCATATGAAATTATAGTGGTGCTGCCTATTTATATGCACACAGAATATCAATGCAGCAAAATACAAGTCTATGAAACATCCATATATAATAAAAAGATTCCTAAAGCCAGACAGGGAAGCACGCACTTCTGGAAAAATTTCAAGGAACATATATATTTTCTATCTTGCTGTAATTCAGCTGGTTTTACAAAACATTAATTTCCAAATGTTTTTGAAATTGTTCATGAACTCTCCTTAAAACCTATGAAGGGAGAGAAAATTAAATCTACTGTGCAGATGAACAGAGAAGCTCAAGACTTACACAATTCAACCAACCTGCAGAATAGAAAATAGCTAACAATACATCTTTATTTTTTCTGGTCCTGGGTTTAATATGGGTGGGTGGGTAGGGTCTATAAAACTTCTAAATTTTATATGGGGCTTTGCATATTTTTTGAGGAGGGTTCGTAGTATTGAGTTTTCAAAAGGCTCGCTGACCCAAAAGTGATAAAAAGGCCTGCTGCACTGAGCAGATTCTTGGACTTTCCTAAGCTAGTGGGGCCTAGGCCCTTCCCACCAGGGAGGGGGCATGAGGAGAAAAGGTAGAGTTTATCCAATGATTAGAAATGGGATGATCAAAGAGTGCTTTGGGGAAGAAATTCTATTTATTTATTTATTTATTTATTTATTTATTTAGTATAGGGTCTACAGAGTCTCACTACACAGATTAGACTCATAGTAATCCTCCCGTTTTCAACTTCCCGAGCACTGGGATCACAGGCATGTGCCACCAGGCCCAGTCTAGGGGAAGAAATTCTCTTTCTTTCTTTCTTTCTTTCTTTCTTTCTTTCTTTCTTTCTTTCTTTCTTTCTTTCTTTTTAAAGATTTATTTATTTATTTATTCATTCATTCATTTATTGTGTGTGTGTGTGTGGCCAGCTCAGCCCACCAGGGGGCAGGGCTGGCTGGCATGTGGTGCTGGGAGATTGAACCGCGGTCCCTGTGCTTTGCCAAGCTTAGCTTGTTCTAAGTAGGTGCTTTAGACCACTGAGCCATCTCACCAGCCCCGGGGAAGAAATTCTTAACAGATAAGTAAAAGTCTGAGGGATGAAAACAACAACAAAATAAGGACACCTCTAGGGGCCGGGAAGATAACTCAGTAGATTAAGCGCTTGCCTGGCAAGTGCAAGAGCCTCAATTCAATCACCGGTTCTGCAATAAATAAATAAATAAATAAATAAATAAATAAATAATAAAGACACCTCTGAGAAAAGCAGACACCTCAAACTTTTTCTTCCTAACTTATGAGCACCACTTAAACAAGGCCTACACATTTCCATTTTTCTTTTCTTTTTTTTTTTCCCTTCCTTCCTGTCTGTCTGGTCTGTCTTTCTTTCTTTGATAAAGGGTCATGATACACACTTTGGATTGATAGTTATCTTTCTGTATCAGCCTCCCCAGCACTGGGATTACAGGCGTACAACATCATGCCTGGTTTGGGGGCCAGCATGGTGCACCCAGGGTTCAGGTGCTGGCATGGCATGTGGTACCAGATATTGAACTCAGGTCTTTGTGCATGCCAGGCAGGTGCTTAGACTGCTGAGCTATCTCCCCAGTCTAAGGCCCACACATTTCTATCTCCCAAAGAAACAAATAAAAAATACAGATACAGAGCTGGATGGAAGCATAACAATCACTCACTCGTTATAGAACACTAGTGATTATAACAAACACAACAACACCCTAGCCCCAATTTTAGTAGCTCTTAATAACTTAGATTAAATTTGGTCTTCTAGTTTATATAACTTTAAATTTTGATCACATACAATAATGTATAAAAAGTCTACAGAGTCACACTTTTGGCTGTAAAAATCAAGACTTGTATTTTTTCATCATAAGATCTGACAGACTGAACCATACAGAAAATCACTGTTATAAAGCATTAAAAGAAGGTTAAAAATAAAAACATGATAGTCAACTCTTGATTGAAGTTCAACCTTCAATCCTGGCATTTTATAAAAGGTAAGGAAATTATTTCCATGTAATAAGTCTGCTAAATGTTCCTCTGAATATGTAGGGTTTATAATAGTTTTAAATATGCCATCAGAAAGATTAAATATTTAGGATATTATGTTCTTTAATGATTCCATTTGCTCCTTATTAGATTTAAGGTATTTCATTTCAATTATAGCAATTGCAATACCTCATATTGACATTAAGGCACAACATTATTTCCATTAACTCTTTTCACTGCGTATTTCAAATAGACACATTTTTTTTCAAATAACAAGAAGTCAGGATTTGCCCCAGAGTCTCTGAGCCATTTGCTTTACCCATTTTAGCTATATAACTAAATATAGATGAACGTTTCACAACAAAGATTACGTGCTAATCATCAAAGGTGAGTGAAATCAAGTGAGGTGATAATTTTATGCCTGTACATTATCTATGGGAAAATAAAGTCAGTTTAGAAAAGTTTAGTTAATGATTTGCTAACTTGATATATGAATAGCAAATGACTCTGTAAATGGACTTAACAGAGTGGGATGCTAGGGACTGAACTCAAGGCCTTGCATATACTAGGCAAACACTTAACCACTGAGCTACATCCCTAGCTCACAATATATTTGTATTAATGTTTTAAAATGTCTGCTTAAAAAGTACTGCCAGTGTCTTGGTCAGAGTTTAAGAGTCTGACTTCATTTTTCTTTCTCATATTCTTTGTCCTTAAAAACTAAAACAAAAAATCCAGAGAGAACTCTAATCTCAAAATATGGGGAGACAGCTCAGTGGAATAAGTGCTTGCCTGGCAAGCACTAAGTCCTGAGTTTGATCACTGGTACCACCAAAACCAAAACCAAAACCAAAAACCTCAAAATAGTAGGCAAGAACCCAACTTTCAACTCTGGTATAAACCATTTTATTTTCATGTCTTTGGTGTCTCCTACAATCTACTTTAAGAGAAAGAAGACATCTAAATTATTCAAATTGGCTAAAAAGCAAAGAACAATAAAATTATTAACTGTATGAAAGTAGTGATTCTAGGCCAGGAGTGATGGCACTTGGGAGGTCAAGGAAGGAGGATCCCTATGAGTCTGAGGCCAGCCTGGGCTACAAAGTAAGTTCAAGGCTAGCCTGAACTGTATAGTAAGACCATCTCAAAAAAAAAGGAGGGGTAATCCTATAGTACCAGTCCACAATTAGTCCCTTTTGAGGCCACAGCCTACTTTTCCTTCAACTGATGTAAATCACTTATTACACTTCTACTTGTGGAAATTTTAGGAAACTGATCTTTTATTGTATCTTTCTTTTTTTTTTTGTATCTTATTTTGTGTGTGTGTGTGTGTGTGTGTGTGTGTGTGTGTAACTGGGGATTGAACTCAAGCCCTGTGCTTGCCAGGGAAGCACTTATTTCACTGAGCCATCTCCCCGGCCCCTGTATCTTATTTTTTTGAGACAGGTTCTCAAACTATGTAATTCAGGCTGGTCATGAAGTCAACCATCCAGTGCAAGCTGATCTTGAACACATGATCAGCCTCTCAAGAGCTGGGTAGGCATGTGCCATACCAATGTACTGCCTTTTTTTTTTTTTTTTTTTTTTTTGGAACCAGGGATTCCGCAAAACAATGAACAGCAGCAATTGTTAGCTGACGCCAGAGACCTCAGGCCCTTACCCCTTTATTTTAATAATATTTATTTAGAGAACTTCTATAGAGCTTTGCTAATATATATTTTCTTTGTTCTAAAATGTCTCCCTTTGGGCTGGATAGCTCAGTGGTCTAAAGCACCTATTTAGAACAAGCTTAGCAAAGCACAGGGACCGCGGTTCAATCCCCCAGCACCACATGCCAGCCAGCCCTGCCCCCTGGTGGGCTGAGCTGCCCCCCCACAAATAAATAAATATTATAAAATGTCTCCCTTTGAAGGGCCAATCAGATAGCTCAGTGGTCCAAAGCACTTGCTTAGGCAGATGCAGGGACCAGGGTTCAATCACCAGTGTGCCGTGCCAGCCCTGCCCCTGGGGCAGGCTGAGACAGCGACTGAGACTGCTTGTGGTGGCATGCACCTATAATTCCAGCACTTGGGAGGCTGAAAACAGAAGGATCACTATGAGTCCAATCTGTGTAGAGAGACCCTGTACTGTACTATATATATATATATATTGCCTCCCTCTGAAGTTCAGGCTGGCTTTGAATGCAAAGCCCAGGCTGGCCTTGAATTCACAGTGATCCTCCTGCCTCTGCCTCCGCCAAATAATTTTCATATGGGAAACTGACATTGGAGAAGCAAGCCACAGTTAGGAAAAGCAAGGAAGAGCTGAGAACTCCCTGGTATTAAATGTGGCTGAGGCCTTAGAAGGGACTGCACAGGAAAGGAGACACTTTCTCCACGAGGTGAGAGCACAAGCACAGGCCATCTGTCTCCCTGTCCCCTACGCCCAGAAAACACTTTGATGTGAAGGTGGTAGGGTGGTTAAAAACATTAAAGTTCACCCAACTAGAAGGCATACAAAAGGCAGAAATGGTCAAGAGGTGCATTGATGAGCCATACAAACAATTTTGTTACTTTATCAAAGATGAGTATCTTTGTACATCCCTATAACCCCAGGACATTGTGAGATTGAGGTAGGATTTGAGGCCAGGCTGGGCTACATCATAAAATCTTGTCTCAAGCAATAAGAAAAGCAAAAACAAAACCTCTGAATAAACACTTCTGTTATAGGGTCAGGGAGATGGCTCAGTGGAATAAGCACTTGCCTGGCAAGCAGAGGGGCTTGAGTTCAATCCCCGGTTCTGCAAAAACACTTCTTTTATAGCCTTCAGCTCCAGCAGCACTACTTCCTGCTGCTAATCCAACCCACTGCAGACCTAGACTGCCTGAGGGCTGGAGGAAGCTAATTAGCTGTTATCTTGATGTCAAAGGCAAGACCTACTATAAAGAAAAGGAGATTGCAATGGTCTACTCTACCTTGTGACCAAGTATCACAAATGTGAAAAAGTAGCATCTCTGATTCCTCAGAAGTATGGCTAAAACACTGTGGAGATTTTCAGAGGTAAGGTTTCGAATTGGATGTAATCTCCATCACATTATATAAAGTCAGACAACTTCCTGAATTATCAGGGGGACTTAAAGCTTTTGCGCCATTTCTAGAGTCTATTAGGAAGGAAAAAAATCTACCCTTAATAAAGCCAACCTTTCTTTAATTGTCTGAAAGCTTTATGCCATGTTTATTGAACTTTCAAGATGGCTCAGAGTTATCTGAGGGAGGCAGGGCCTTGTGCTGATAGAAAACAGGGTACCAGGGTTTGGTGACAACCAGACAAACCCCAGCATTAAAAACTTTGTGTGAACCACTACCCTCAGTTATGGAATCCTAACTCCATGCTCATTTGCAAAGACACTTGCAAACCATGAACAAAGAGACAAATGCGCTACTGTGACAGTGCACACCTGGAATCCCAGCACTCTGGGAGGCAGCAGCAGGAGTGAGAAGTTCAAGCCCAGCCTGAGGGACTTCAGTCGCAAAACTGAAGTGGCTGCGCCGGGGAGAAGGCTTGGCCATCTAAGTGCCTGCCTGGCAAGTACAAGGACCCTACTTCAATCACTAGTACTGCATGCCACCAAAATGAATGCATGAATGAATGAAAAAGAAAGGAGAGGAGAGGAGAGGAGAGGAGAGGAGAGGAGA